CATATAACATGACGTGCTCATTTCAAACGAGTAATCTCTTTTGAACCAAATCAAAAACAAAATAAAAACAGAAAACGTGCAGAAAATGTAGCAAAATGATGAACTGCACGCTTTAACAGCATTTGCTGGCTGCAACGCCTGTAAATATGCTTGCTTGATGATAAAAAAAAAATACAATGCAATGGAGCGTTGAGCACTGTAATGTGCTCTGTATGCATTTGCCTACGCATTCGTTCTCACAGACTGCAAATTTCGCAAAACTTTTCAGTTGTGCTCTCTTCTTAAAAATTAAACGATATTTGAACTCTCTGTGAGGCTAACATGTTTTCGCATATATTTTAATATGTGAGTTTATGTGCGTGTGTGTGTGTGTGTGTATGTGTATCTTCTGTTACATATTACGACTCTCAGAGCCAAAAGAAATTTGCTTTGGCGCGCATACTTTTTACTGCATACACAGACTGCGCGCACTCCCTTAATATATCAATTTTACGACCATATCATTCGTCGTACGCTCAAGAGTAGAGCAGAGCCGCAGTCGCTTTAGCTCACCACTCAACTGAACTAGCTTAATGGCGAGCAGCATTTCATTTTGATTGTCGTGCACATCGTTCATGTCATCGGTGTCGTCGCTGCCATAGCCGTGCTGTGCCGTTGTTGTCTTTGCCTTCGTCGTCATTGTGGTGGCTATATCGTCTTCTTCGTCGTCGTCGGCGCCGTCCTCGTCAACATCATTTTGTTGGCATGCCGTGGAGTCAATATCACCGCTGCTGCTATTACACCACTACCATCGCCGTTGCCGCTGTTGGCGCTGCTGCTCCTGCTGTTTTTCATTGTGTATGTTGTGTGCTGTCAGCTCTCAACGTTGTCAGTGTCAAAAAGATGTTTTAGTCGACAACTGAACGCTTCAATGGAATCATGTCGAATATTCTTAATATTGGTGTGTGCAATTGCTTTTATCACTACTACTACAACAACATCGACTAATACTAATACAACAGTAAAACAAACTGCAACAACAAATATTTTTGCAACGTCTACAATTACAATTGCTACAACAGCAACAATAATATCGTGAGTTTTACTTGTAAGAGACAGTTGAAAACAAACAAATAACACAAAATTACAAATATTAGCAGCAGCAGTGGCAGTGGCAGCGTTAACAAGAAGAAGCACACAGCACAAGCTATATAGCAGCAGCAAAAGCTTGCAATATTGTAACACTGTGCAACAACAATAACAAAACTAGCGAAAACGTGTTAGCCGCCAGTTGTGCTCTGTCGATGTGTTAGTGTTTATTTGTTTTTTTTTTCGTATTTTTTTCTTATTTTTGTTTTTTAAACTGAGAAGCTTCTCGTGCTGTGTCAAAATCTGGCCGCTTTAGTGTTGGCGGGAGTGTCGTCCATGTGCGTTGGTAGCGTGTTGTTATCATTTGTCTGGCGACAAGGACATTTGCTAAACGCTAAAGCGTATGCAGAGTGCATAAGACGTTTGCTTGACGTCTGACGTTGACGTCGTCAATTGACAATTGAAATTTGTCTGTGTTGTTGAGGTCAATCGCAAAAGGTGGTGCAATAATCCAATTAAGTGAGAAGTTATTTTATATTAAATTAAACTCCAGTCTTACGAAGTCCAGAATTAAGGTAATTGAAGTGAGAGATTTTTTGCACATTAAAGTAAATAAGCCGAAAACTGAAAAATATTAAAAAAATATTAAAAATAAAATACATTTTATTGAAAAATAAAGTAAATAAAACAAATAAATAAAAAATAAAAATTAAGTAATTTCAAAAAAAAAACTTAAATAAGCCAAAATAAAAGACAAATAAAAGAATTTGAAAAAAATTAAATTAAATCAAATTAAATGGAATGAAATTAAATTAAAATAAATCGGAAGAAAACAGTAGGATGTATATCAAATAAAATTAAACTAAATTAAATAAAACTAATTAGTACATTAAACTAGTTCAAATTGAATTCCAAACAAAAAAAATTATTAGAAAAATTAATTGAAACGAAATCTTTACATAAAAAATGCTTTTAAGAAAATTTATTGTTATCAATTGTAACAACATTTGAGTGAACCCAAAAAACAGCGTGTTAATTAGTTTAGCACGTGTGTGTTTAAACAAAAACAATAAACTCAACAGTGCTGAAGCGCTGAGATGAATAAATACAAGAAAGTGTTTACCATTCTGAAAGAGACCATAAAACATTTTACGGCATTTAAAACGCCTAAATAGTGCTTGCTTCCGAAAAAAGTGTTTTAATACAAATTCGTTTACGTGAAATTCATTAGCAGACTTTCGTGGAAATTTTGATTGCTATGTCAAAAATATTAAAAAAAAATAAATTTATCGAATTCAAAGGAAATTGTTTAAACTTTGTTTTAAAAATATTCAAATTTCAGTGTTTGAATATTTTACAATTGCAGAAAATTAAAAGTAAGAGTAACTCAAGATATGAACAAGAAAAAAGAAAACAACGACAAACAGAAACACTAATTATAAAATATAAGCCTACTCAAATTTAAATTGAACTGGATTGTATTGAGTTGAATTACATTAAACAAAGAATTAGAATATTTTTAATTATTTAAAAAAAACATTTTGAGTTGAAATTTGAAAAATTTGAATTTTTAAATAAAAAATCTAAATTTTTAAATCAAAGTTATAATTTGTTAAATTGTAAATTAAAATTCTTTCCAAAGGGTGCATGTTCATATTCTTCCACAAGTGAAATGGCTTAAAATGGTAAGCCGTCTGCCAAATGCTAATGAGCTTTTACGAGAAGCAAACGAGAATAAATTTTTTTCTAATTTTTTTATTGTTGTTGTAACTAGTTGATTTTAAAATAAGTGAAAAAATAAAAAAAATTACAATAATTTGACTTAAAAGTATATTTTTTATAATTGTTTTTTAAATAAAATACAAAATGAAAAGAATGAAATTAAACAATACCAATAGTATAGTAATTAATAAATATTTCTTGGTAGCACAATGAGTCTACTTAATTGCTTAGGTGCGACCGCTGGTGTTCAGGTTCTCAACCTCGCCTTTCAAGCAACCAACTAACAAGCTCATAAGCTTATAAAAATTATATAAGTAAAATTTGAAATAATAAAATTAAAAAAATTGAACAATTTTGTTTTCTAAATACATATATTTGTAATATGTATATATATATCAAAAAAAATGTATGTTTAAAACAGTACAAAAATTATTTTCAAAGAATCAATTAATATTTTGTTTTGCTTAATACATTAAAAATTGGAAACTATTAATAAATTTAATTTAATAAAACTTGCAATAATTATTTTAAAAAAATAAATTTAAAATTAACATATGAAAAATGTTTTATAATTTAGGTTAATTAAATTTTTAACGAAAATAAAAAAGTAAAAATTTTCAACTACATGGATGATTTTTCAGTGCTATTTACATAACATTAAAACAAAATTTCTCTACAAATAAATTATGCTATTTAGAAACATTTATTTTAAAAAGAAATAAAAATAGCAAAAAAAAACAAAGAACTTTAAGCACAAAATCTAAATAAATAAACATACAAACACTATAAATTACATCAAATCACTATTAAATCACTAAACTAAGACGCTATGCGGGACTTGGTATAAAATAGAAAAAAATTTGTCTAAAGAAACAACAACAACAACGCAAAGCAACAAAATCGAAATAGCGTAGAAAAACAACTAAGCCAACATAAGAAAGTTAAAAATAAAAACCAACAGCAAACCACACATAATCCCATACTACATACCAGCAGAACAGCAGCGCCAGCAACCCAGCCTATGCCACCCACTTAAGCAGAAGGAAATTGTTTACATATTTCCCCTCATTCATTCATTCATATTTTGTGCGGTGTGTGTGCGTGCGTGCGTGCGTGGGTACGTGAGTATACACACAAACACACACATATATATATATATATATATATATATATATATTTGCTTGAGATTGACACTTTTTGATGACTGTCACTCAGCGAGCGGCGACGACGAGCACCAACAGCAGCAGCAGGAAACGCAACGACAAAACGTCAAATCAACTGACCGACAGCGTGACCCATTGGCTTGGGATACTACACCACTCAGCTGACCGGTTACAGTTGCCACACAAACGTCACTGCTGTTTGTTTACATACATACATAAGCACATTTCAAGCCAGCTACAACGCCGCATCACATCACATCGCATTTATACATTTAGCCATTCGAGCGTGCGTTAGCAGAGCAATAGCAGCAGCAGCAGTTGAGCAGCAGCAAAACAAATACAAAAACAACAAATAAAAATAACGAATAGCTGCCCACTAAGCAAGTCATTGCAAACACACATTCCTTTTCTTGCGTTTCACTCTGCCTCCCCTCTCTGCCTCCCCCTCGCTGCGTACACTATACAGAGCAGCCACATCACTAACCAGCCGCCTGACATTTGATTTATTTGACGTGTGTGTTTTTGATAGAGGCATAACACGCCAGTGACACGTTCTCGTACATACATACATGCATGCATACAATTGAGTATTCTACATACAAAAGACACAATAAGATCGTTGAGCATACATACAAACATATAAATACATACACGTATGTATAAATATGTATGCATGTACTACATACATGTCATCCATCTCTGCCTAAGCGCGTCAATAACACATTACCTTAGCTGGGCTAGTTAGTGGCGCATTAACACCAACAATTTCAACTCAGCAGCAGCAACAACAGCAACAGCAGAGTCAGTGTCTCAGCGAATGTGGAAATCTGACAGTAGCTACTAAATAAATCAGCAAATGTCTTAGAGGGCATACAAACAAACAAACAAACAAACATATTTACATACATGCATACATAGACACATATGTCTGTATGTATGTATGTAGTGAAATAAGAGCACATAAAAGCATTAGTAGTATTTATTTTTAAAAGAAATATATTTCTTTCATGTCTTTGCTATCAAAAATATAATAAAAAATCAGCGAAAACAACAGCAACAACAACAACAAAGCGAAAATAAAACAAATTAAACGGCGTTGCCGTGGACACAGATAAATCAGTCAAGAACTAAATACAAATATTTTTTTCTCTTACATACGCGACAAGTGGCAAGTGTTAATACAAACATCCATGCACACGAGTACACACATACATATGTATGTATGTAAAGAAGAGCAAGCCTACCGCAGAGGCCTCATGCATACCAAGCGGATAATGGAAAAATTTCACTTTTCACTTTTCACACCCCCACACACACATTGGTGAGCTCACGCCAAAACATACTACTCAACTCACGTTGAAACAATCAATTGAAGAGCTAAGGAAATAACGAAAGAAAGAAACATAAATTCGACAAAAACTAAAAAGGAAAAGACAGAAAGGAAAAAAATAGAATAAAAATAGGAAGTGTGCAGAAATAAATAAAAAAAAATTCGCGTGCATTCAATATGTTTATGGGCGTGTGTATGTGTATGCAAGTGAAGACTTTGTGTTAGAAATTGTACTTCCGCAGTTGGCGTTGTTGCACTTCATTCTCAAACACCACCCACAAGGCAGCTAAGAAATGATGTTGCACGAAGCGGTTATGCTGGAAATATATAGGCAGGCGCTCACGGCAAGGTGATTATTATTAATTTTTAATCAATAACAATGATATATTTTTGCATGTATGTACATTTGTATAAATATCTACTTATACAGGAGTGGCACACTAATTAGCACACCCTTTCGTGTAGACTGAAATTATCAGAAAAATTAAAGAAATAATTAAAAATTCGGGAAGGGATTGTAATATAGGTAAACAATAAAATTTTTTAAGTAATTTTGAAGGGGGAAAAATCTATAATTGAAAAAAAAATGATAATAGATGCTCTGGGCAGGTTAATCTCTTGGTTTTACAGCCACTGTATGACTCACCTCGACTTGTGGCAAGGCGCATTGTGCTGTTGGTGTATTTATATACACTCTAAAGTCTTCCAAAAACAGTGAAAGATGGTTTTCAAGTAAGTTTGCCTGCCAATAGCAACAACACTATGCTTCGCAAAGCAACCGCAAACCATAATACTTCCCCCACCGAACTTAATCGTCTTCCTGGTATGCTTCGAGACCAAATTTTTATTTGGTGTAAGTTGAATTTAGATACGTTGCTCCAAACTACAGAGTTCCAGCAGGAGAAAGGAGAATCCGTATGTAATCTGACAAATTCCAATGGAGCGTTTCGAAATTTTTGGCTTTTTTTTTAAATTTGATATCTCCGAAGATTGTTTTTCAAACGCCGCTGTCTAATAGTCCTGCACTATTTTGAATGAGATGCAAAAGCATCGTTAAGCTACTGCCGAACAATGAGGGTATCTTTTCTTTTTGTGGTATTTCTGCATCTACATATATATCTTTTCATTTGAAAATTGTTTATTCTTACGATAATATCTGAGCGTTTCGAGTTTTGGAAGAGATTCGACACCCAAAACCTCTTCGCCGTTTTTAATGCCGACTACGACAGCACGATAAGGAGCTGCCTTTACGCCGCTATGTACGAATTTGGCATCCCCTCAAAACTTATACGACTGTGTAAGGTGACGCTAGACAACACCAGAAGCGCAGTCAAAATTGGGAAGCACCTCTCCGAGGAATTTCACTAATTTTATTTCCTTCTGGAATATGTTTCATATTATAGGATTTTTCAACATCCCAGATTAAATATTATGCCAAGTAAAAAGTTTGTGCGGTTTTTTATATTGATATTTCAAAATATGATAACTTTGTGTACACTTTTCCGATTTAAATCGAATATGTGCCGTTTCGTTCGTAAACTTGTTGCCAACGAGATGACAACTTCATTAAAACCATTATACCCCTCTCGTAGAAGTCTGCGTCCCTATTGGCAAAAAAACTGGGAAAGCTTATTTTCATAGGCCTCTACTGAGGCCAACTTCTCACCATTAAGCGTGTTCGGCATGGACAGAAAGAGATGGTAATCACTTGGTGCCAGGCCCGGACTATAAGGTGGCGGCATTAGGATCTCTCATTCGAGCTTCTGGAGCTTCTGGCGCGTCCTGATGGAACACAATTCGGCCTCTGTTGATCAAAGATGGCCTCTTCTGGATGAGTGCTGCCTTCAAGCGGTCCATTTTTTGGCAGTAGAGGACCGAATTAAACGTTTGACCATAGGGGAGCAGCTCGCAAAAGATGATTCCTTGCCAATCCCACCAAACACACAGCAAAACCTTCATGGCCGTCCAACCCGGTCTTGGCCACCGACTGGGCCGCTTCCCAGAGCTTTGACCACGACCGTTTGCGCTCGCTGTTGTCGTACGTTAATACTAAGCCGCCTCCGAACGGCTGATGGTTTTTTCATGAGGAGCTTTATTTCATGTCAGAAATATACTCGGAGGGGTTGGCATCCCTGCCAAGGTGCGACCGCAATTAGAAAATTTGATTTAGTTTTTTATTTAAATTAATTTTCAATAACTTTTTGGATGTTACTACGACGCCAGGAGCCTTCCGATTGTCAGTATGAATGCTAACCACGCAGCTACCGCTGCCGCCCACCCGTTACATAGGTGGATTAATAATATTATATGATGGCTATTGTCATTCGGAAGGCCATGGTTCAAATCTTATTTCGACCAACATCGAGGGAGATGACTCCACCTGCAAGTTGTGGTCGATCTTGCGAACGATCCACTATTTCATTGAAAAGGTTTCACATCTGTCAAAAGTAATGCGCCAGAAGCGACCTAAAGGCATGGTGTGCGGTTTTGGGCATAACAACTTTCGGCCCAACGTGGTTATAACGGTCAAAACCCACTAGCAAACGCTGAAATGAGGAGGAGTTTTACCACACCCACCGTATTCGCCAGACCTTGCCCCTTCCAACTACTGGCTTTTTTGACGGTTGCCAAAAGATTTGGGTGATCAATGGTTTTCGGTCTCTAAAATCGACGAATAGCTCGATGCTAAGACGGAAAAGAGAAGACTATTTTTTTAGAGAAAGTTTTCGAAACTTACATAAATTTTGAATGATGTATTTTTTTACTAATTTTGAACACAAAGAACGGGACGACTTAATTTGTACCCCCAAAACATAAAGAAATAAATGAACAACAAACAAAAACTTGAAAATGCAAGGAAAAATGTCTTAATGAATTTTGAAAAGAAGTTTTTCAAAAGCTGAATTTTAAAAAATTAATCGAGTTTTGCGTAAAATAATGAGCCGAATTTTTGTATCGTCCTCTGCTCTTTATATTAAAATTGACTGATTTTCATTTTCAATATTTTACAACGTATTTCTACACTAAAACTTGATTATAATGTTCTTGTAATTTCTCTACCTTTCCAGCGAGTTGACCAGCCCGCGTTGTCAATCACGAGAATCGAATGTCTCCGCAGCGGCTATGGAGGGACGTTGTCCTTCGAACGGCTCGCATTGCTCCGGCAATGAGCGTTCCGCCACTCCAGCTACGTGTTCTCTACCGAACACACCGCCCGCGGGTCTACCTTTGCCGGCGACACTAGCACCAGCTGCCGCAGCAGCTCTGTTGCCACCACAATCTGCTGCTATGGCTGCCTATTTCAATGCCGCAGCAGCAGCAGCAGCAGCTCAACAAAATCACTTGCTGCTAACCAATCCACTGGCCGCCGCAGCTACGCTCGTACAGCAGGCAACACGTACGCATACACCAACAACAAATCATCAGCCAGCGACTCCCACCTCACCAACACAAACGGAAGAGCAGACAACAGGCGATGAGCCAATATTGGATTTTAGCACCAAACGCCGACAGCAATCCATACGCGAGAGTGATGATGATGAAGATGACAATGATGAGAAGGCGGACGATGATAACTGCGTGCTGGGTATGGAGGGTGCAGATGGTGGCTCGGAGACCAATAGTCCGCTTGATTTGTCAGTTGGCCGCAAACGCGAGGCAACCGATGAGGAACCAACACACATGCCAATGCGTAAAACCCTGCGTACCGCACTACCGAACGCAGCGGCTAGCAATTGGGTGCCACCAATAAATCCGTATTTAGCCGCAGTGGCGGCGGCTAGCTTATCGCCAAAATCGCCACTCTCACCACTCGAATGGAGTGGCAAGCACAAGCTAATGCCAAATGAAGCTACCAAAGCGTTAGAGAAAATGACTGAAATGACAAGACTTGGCTCGGCTACCGACAGTGCCGAGCTGCCGACGCATCGGCAAGTGAATGCAACAGCCCAAAACAGCGGTGTCAACCAAGGCGGCAATGGCGGCCGATACAGTGCGTGGCAGTCGCATTGGTTAAATAAGGGTGCCGATGCCGTGCGAGATGTCTTCAAGTGCGTTTGGTGTAAGCAAAGTTTTCCCACACTAGCCTCGTTGACCGTACACATGAAGGAGACGCAACACTGCGGTGTCAGCATGCCAACAACGGGTGCTACTAACGTGTCCAGCAATGGCAGTGGCAACAATCAGACAACTCAATCGACACATCAGCTACGGCTACGTCACTCCACAAATGCGGGCACATCGGTGGCAACAGCTGCCGGTGCCGCCGTCACATCGCACACAACAAGTACCGCTGGCTCGTCCATCTCGTCTACTGGCAATAAATCTGATCTCAATTTGCTAATCAAAGAAACGATGCCATTGCCACGCAAACTTGTACGTGGCCAAGATGTCTGGCTCGGCAAGGGCGCAGAGCAAACACGTGAAATACTGAAGTGTATGTGGTGTGGACAGAGTTTTCGTTCGTTAGCCGAAATGACATCGCACATGCAGGAGACGCAACATTACACGAACATAATATCCCAAGAGCAGATCATTTCGTGGAAGTCGACGGATGATAAAAACTCGACTAGCGGCAGCTCCACATCTACGAATGGCGGTACATCGTCAACATCACCTGTGGTGACAACACCACCATCGTCTGGCATCGGCGGTGCTCAAGCAGCGGCCGCTGTGCTAAACAGTCCCAGCCATAACAACAACACATCGGCTACTGTTTGTGCCGTGCTAACATGCAAGGTGTGCGATCAAGCTTTCGCCACGCTCAAGGAGCTAAGTAATCACATGATGAAAAACTCACACTATAAGGAGCATATGATGCGTGCCATCGGCGGTGTGGAGCATGCACAAATGACGCCGACAAGCGCGGCAACAGCAACAACAACAGCGTCGCGTCGTGGCGGTGGCGGACGCCAGTTGCGTGAAAAGCGTAAAAAATCTTTACCCGTGCGTAAATTGCTGGAGCTGGAGCGTGCACAACAGGATTACAAAAATAATGGTCTCGATCCGGCATTGAAGCCGTTACGTGACTTTACCGCTAGCACGAAGATCACATGCGAAAAGTGTGGTGAGAAGATCGAGACGGCGTTATTTGTTGATCACATCAGACAATGTTTGGGCGGAATGCTAATGGTGCCCGCACGCAAACACAATCAGAACAGCAGCAGCGAGGCTATGAAGTCCACCTTAAATGCAATGGAACAGCTGATTAGTCCGCAAACCCCGACGAGCCGCAGTGATGGTCGTCAGACAGCCGATAGCACTGTGTCACATGCATCAGTCACACGGCCCGACATTCTCTGCCCGTTACCCAAAGAAGGAGAAAAGTTGAGTGCAAGTTCCACGCCCTCAGTGCTGAATGCCATCGAGCAGTTGATTGAAAAGAGTTTTGATACGCGTGGTCGGAATAGCGGTTCGTATGCCGGCAATGGTACAGGCAGTCAGCGTAGCACACCTTTGGGCTCGAGTATTTTGAAGCGACTCGGTATTGACGACACTGTGGACTATACTAAGCCACTAATAGATCCACAGACTATGCATTTTATGCGTTCGTACTCAAGCTACTCGGCGCGCGATCGCAGTGCCAGTGAGTCAAGCTCGATTTCCGAACGCTGCAGCAGTCGCATAGAATCATTTACGCCCGATCGTAATGGTGTAGAACGTGGTCGGCAGCCGACACCGCGTTTAACGCCAGAAAAGTTGAAAACGAATCCGGATGATGGTGCAGAAAGAGAAGCAAGCAATGCAATGGACACTGAAATGTTGAATATTAAATCTGAGCCGGTTGAAACATCCAATGAGCCACAAGAATTAACAATGATTAACAAAGAGGACGAGGATGCCGACGCCATAAATTTGTCAACTCAAAAAATTTCCGTCAAAAAAGAGTTCAATATGATTGACAACCACGATGAGGAGCGCCCGTCCAGCGACAGTTTACACTATAAGCCACAAGCGCAGACGCCAGGCTCTCGCGCCACAAGTCCCAGTGCCAGCGAACGCTCAATTACGCCCAAATCCACATCTTCTTCGGCTGATAAGCGATACGCGGCGTCTGTTGGTAGCAGTCTCACTGCGCTCTCCTCCATGTTTGACAGTCTAAATAATATGAACACAACAAGTGCGCTTGCCGCAAAATCACACAACGTTTCGGAGAATCTACATGGCGGCATAGAAACCAATAACAATAACAATAATAATAATAACAACACAAATAAGAAAAGCAATGCAAATCCGCTTGCTGCACTTCAGAAACTATGTGAAACTACAGAGAAACCCGCAATGAAGACGCGTAATGCCACCAATGGCATCAATCATCACAACTCACAATTATCCGGCAATATGATGGCCTTCAGTTGGGCTTGCAATGATGCGGTACGCGATACGAACGCCGCTGAGTCACCCATGATCAAGTGTTCGCAATGTGATGCCGTCTTCAGTTCGAAGGGCGCCTATCGTCATCACTTCTCAAAAGTCCATTACATAAAGGAGGACAGCGAATTGCATGCCATTAAATCGCCCGCCTCGGCATGCTCGCCAAAGTCGGCGGGTACATCACCGAAGAGCACTTCGAAGAGTCCAGTCGGAGCTGGCAGCATGGGTGCGCCCATTATCAATCCATATGGCGAGAGCTCTCAATCAAAGTTCCTGAAATATAGTGAGTTGGCTAAGCAGTTGTCCTCGAAGAATGCATAAATTTAAGTTAGATATCCCTCATGGAAATAAACTAGAAGTCTATGGTAAGTCATAAATTAGTAATATAAGCATTTGAGGGGTGAGAGATTTTATTTTATTTATTTATTTCTTTATTTAATTAAATTTTTTCACTGAAATAAACTGCATTCAGTTGCTGAATTTTCCTAAAATAGTTTCTTTAAATAATTTAAAAAATCAATCTTTATTAACTACAAATAATAAATAAATTTTTTTTACTACCAACCCGATAATTCATATTATTATCGTTAAAGCAGTTATCAAATTTGATTTTATTTCGATTTTACCTGAAACGAAGGGGTGTCGTTAATGTTAAGTCATTAAGAGGTTAGTTAAATCGTTAACCGCTAATGTTAAATCTTTAACAGATAAGGTTAAGTCGTTAACAGATAGTGTTAAGTCTTTAGCAGATAATGTTAAATAGGTAACACTGAGGTATGCTGTTCACAGCATAGCAAGCAGGTATTTCAAAAAAAAAACGTAATCGATGAGTTTCTTTTTATTTCTATAACGAGGCGTCGGAACGAAAAGAAATTATTTCGTTAAGTTTATTATTTACTTTAACCAAACGAAATGACTTTGTTTATTCAGTTGAGCATCTCTTGTTTAATCTATTCGAAATATATTGATAAAGAGAAATTTATGCACACTCAAGGTTTGAACGAAATGATTGTTTTGAATAAAAATGATAAAAAAAACAATTGAAAATTGGAAATAAAAGGAAAAAATCAATACTCAACTACTACTACTTAAAAAAAAAATCCAAACAGAAACCGCCATATTAGATTAATTCCAATATTTTTAAAATTCATGTCAAGCTCCGAAATATCGAATGTCGTTAGAAAGCAAATTCTATTTGAATTTTCAAAATTCAATTCGTTAACTGTTTACATTTTATTTGTTGAGTCAACAGATGGTTTTTAATAAAAAAAATTGCCAAAAGTTTGCTAAAATTAGTTTTTCCCAGCGACTGGGGAAGATCAGACGAGATAAAATGTAAAACTTAGACTTTTATTCTTATTTATTAAAAATAATTGCACAGAATATAGAAAAAGGTCTAAATTTATGCTTGCTTCCAAATTTTTCCTCGTTGGATTTTTTCAATAAATCGAAATACGGAACACCAATCACGTTGCATCATCTGCTACCAATACAGATTTCAACACATCAAATTTGATAGGATTCCAGAAGATGATTACGCAATCCTGATCGAATTCAATTCCCAAGTCGATTGAAATAGTTCAAAGTTAATTTCTATTGAACCGCCAATAAACCAAATTCACGTATTTCTAGTGACTCAAAAGCACAAAACTTGCTGAATTGCTGCCTCTATAAGGCGCGCTTAGGCGTGTTGTGGCTGTTACCTGTGGAATCTTATAAATATAATAATTGAAAAAATATTATTTTCGGTACCAGTTTGAGAATTCATTGAATAAAAGGCATTCGAAAGGGTGAAAATACGAATTTGCAAGTTGAATTCATGAAGGTGAGAGCAGTAGAACAAGAACAACAATTAGCGTGTATTTTATTTTCATTTTCCTAAATATGGAAAGCTCATTGCCTTGTAAAATTTGTGAAGAACTTAACGTTATTAAACTGAAAATTAAAGGCATTTCGAGCAAGAAATGGAGAGACCTACAGTTTATACTAAACCGCCTCCGAAAGGCAGATGGATTCTTATAAAGCGATTCTATTTCATGTCGAAGGACTCGACATACCCTGCAGAGGGGCGACCGCAATTAGAAAAATTAAAGTTCTATAATTTTTAGATGTTTGATCGGAATAAGATTCGAACGTTGGCCATCCGAATGTTAGTTAGCAATGCGGCCACTAAAAAGAATAATTTTGACAATAATTCCTTCTCACAATGAACGAAAAATCTTGAATTCCCTGTTTCGTAGTAAATTTGCATTGCGAATTTCCAAACGAACTCATGAGGTTTTTTTTTTTAAATAAATTAGAAACATTTAATAGACATTATTTTCGCTCAGTTATAATTGTTCAATTAAAAAGTCACCACTAAAAATCGTGACGAAAAGTTTTTGTTTTCAACATTAATAATAAAGCAAAATATAGTAATTGATCAATTTAGAAAATATTCAATTTTAGTTTATCTTTACACATTTCTAATGGTGGCTTGCTCAAATGACATTTTCTTGAAGATTTTTTCTAATTTCCTGCAAACACATTAATTTTCGAAAAACGAAGAAAAATATTTAGAAAGATGGATGATGATTTTTATTTTAACAAAGTAAAAAAATTATTTTTATAAATAACGAAAATAAAAAAAATAAAAAATTTAACATTAAATTATTAAGATAAAATTTTTTTAACTAAAATATAAATATTCAAAATACAAATTATTTCGGAAATTAATTTAGACATCCACACATAAATATATGTATGTACATACGCATTTCCAAAAATATATTAAAAATTTAAAAAAATATTAGTATTATTATTGTTAGAAAAAATAAAGAATTAAATTTAACATTTTTATTTTAACTTTTCGTAACAAAAAAATCACAAAAATCAACAAAAGCAGAGATAAAAAAATATCTTTTAACTATTTTATGATTTTGAAAATAGAAAGAAAATCAAAGGCATTGAAAGCAACATACTTCAGGATCACAATTTTTCTTTAATCATTTTTAGCTTTTTTGTAGATATGTATTTATGTATATTTATATTTACTAAAAATACGTATAGATAATAATTTATTTGGGTATTTGATTATCATGTTTTTAATTGATTAAGGCTTCAAGCTTGCTTTGATTTAGTTTTATACCCAAATAATAGTTTTAGGAGTACAAATTAATTCGTTTTTTTGTATCCAAAAAAAAAAAATAAATTGTACATCATTTAAGTATTGTCCATTAAAAGCGATTACTTTCTGCTATCTCTCTGGTAATTTTTGAAAAAGTGTGTGCTTTCTGTTATCATCGATTTCTTCAAAATTATTTTGCATCCGTTGAAAAAGTCAGTAGTTGGAAGGCGCAAGCTCTGGCGAATATCATGGGTGGGGTAAAACATCCCATTTCAGTGTTTCCAGATGGATTTTGACCCTCATAGCCACGTGGATCCGAGCTTGGTTATGTTACAAAATCACCTTGTCATCATGCCTTTTGGTCTTGTCTGGCCGTGTTTCACGCCTGGCTCAAACGCATTGGCGTTGCAGTCAATAAATTTTCGTGTAAACCAAACCCGTCTGCTCCCACCAGTAGCACACACTTTGTCATCTTAAACAAGCATTTATAGGGCTTCAGCTGAGCTTCCAGTTGAAGCTGAAAATCCAAACTTTCCGCAAATGCAATTTATTTCCTTTGCGAAGAGTCTTTGAATGTTGTTGTTTTCTAATGGTTTTTTTTTATCAGAAAAAGACGCTGTACCACACTAATTATTGTGTGACAGATGTGAAATCATTCCAATGAAATAAGTAATCGCTTCCAAGATCGGCCACAACTTGCAGGTGTGAACGGACAATACGGCAAGCCAGAGTTCGAATCCTGGTGCAGCCAATAACCAAAAAAAATTAATTAAATAAAAACTTATGATAGCTTTTTTAATTATGGTCGCCCCTCGGCAGGGCATATAAACCTCTCCGAGTGTATTTCTGACATGAAAATCAAAAGCAAAAAACCATCAACCACTCGGAGGGGGCTTAGTATGAACTGTAAGTTTTTCCATTTGTTAGAAAAAACATCAAGATGCACAAATTGGTGGGGGAGCTCGGTCGCAGATCGCTTCACCGGTCAATTAAAAATAAAATATAATTTTATTATATTTTTAAGTAATATTATAATAAATAATATTCTAGAAAAATTTCTATACATATGTATACTTTTGTGTTAACCCGACGGTAAAGTCATAATAATTTTGCAGAAACCTATATATACATACTGATAGACTTACATACATATGCATGTGCACGTGCATGTGCATATGTATATGTATGACATTGAACAAACAAACTATATTCAATAAGTCCTTGCAATTGTCATAAATTTACTGGGTAATCTTACAAGGTAAAAGCTTACAAATTTCTACACACATTTGCATACATTTTTATGTATATGTATATGTATGTATGTATGTCTGTATGCAGTAATACCGCATAAGCAAACGTGTAAACATTAAAAAACCACTTAAATTTTTCCTCTACAAACATATTTATACGAATACATTAATACATGCATACATACATACATACATACATGTGTACATACACGCATACATATTAAACTAGACTTGTGGGAAAAGAATTTATCATGTCAAAGCTCCCTAACTAACCATATGGTAGGTTTGAAGATAAATATAAAGAAATTGATTTGCGATCAGATGCAATTGAGCTACCAACACCATTCCTATCACTTCCACTACAAACACCCACACCGGTGTGTGTAGATATTTCTGTTTATTTGTATGTATGTATGTATGTATGTATGTATGTATGTATGTTTAGACAAGGTCACTAAACAAAACAAAAAGTAATTGACAGCAAACAAAACTTGGGGAAATTTTCATTAAAAGAGCATAAACTTTCTGCACTCTTATTATTGACTAAAGAAGAGCAAAATTTTCCCTATATGCTCTTATTACTTAAGAGTAATTGTACTCTTTCAAAATATTTCACAACAAAAGAGTGGAAAAGAGTATATTTAAGAGAACGCTTAAGACAATATAAAACTCACTCACCTAAAATTTTGTTTAAAAAATCATATGTCTCTCAAAGCAACCTGCTCCACTTGTAAAAAAGAAAAAAAAAAAAAAACTTCATAAAAACCTGCATTTGGGCAGTGAGTACAGCCCATAATGTCCATCCCTTTCTATCAACGCACAGTGTTGTTGATTTAACCGACAGCAGTACATCACTCTCATGCATTCGCTTGACTTCCCCTGCTGGCCAAAACAAACGAGTCCATTTTACTCTCGGCGGGATGACCCATGGAAAATGCAATGAAATTCAATTAATGTGCACCGCCACCGTTGGCTCAATTCACATACGAAAACACAAACAGGCGCATGCACTCGTGTGCTTGCAAGCAACCATTCAATGCTGTCAGCAGCATCATAGCTGCTGGTGCTGCTGTTGTATTTTATATACATATATATATGTTTGTATATAGATATGGCTGAGTCTGATGAAATCTTGTCCGTCAAGTTTCTGTACACAAAATGCGCGTGCAAAAGAGATGTCCAT